GGTTTGGTGGAGTTCAGTAATAAAGCCATCTGGTTGTGCACTTTTCCTTTTTGGAGACTGCTGATTGCTGCTTTAATCTTGTTGCTTGTTATTGGTCTGTTCAGGTTTTCTGTTTCTTCTTGGTTCAGTCGTAGCAGTTTGTATGTGTCTAGAAATCTATCCATTTCTTCTAGGTTTTCAAATTTGTTGGTATATAGTTTTTTATAATAGTCTGTTATGATTCTTTGTATTTCTGTGGTATTGGTTATAAAGTCTCCTTTTTTATATCTGATTTTTTGTTATTTGGGTCTTCTCTCTACTTTTTTTTTTTTCCTTTTTTGTCTTTTTTTTTTTTTCGTGTCCGGCAACGGATTGCAACCCTCAGTGTCGCGCCCGTACCAGACTGGGACCGGCAACGGGATCGCAACCCTCCGTGTCGCACCCGCACCTCGCTCAGCCAGCGAGCGGGAACCGGTCTGTATGTGGGATCCGAACCCTCGGCGGGAGTGCCACCGCGCTCCCAAGCAGCGCACTGTAGCAGTGCGCCGCCGGGCCGGCCCCTCTCTCTACTTTTTTTTTAGTTAGCCTAGCTAATGATTTGTCTATTCTGTTTATCTTCTCAAAAAAACAACTTTTTGTTTTATTGATATTCTGTACTATTTTGGGGGGTCTCTATTTTGTTTAGTTCTGCTGTGATTTTAATTATTTCTTTGCATCTACTCATTTTGGGATTTGATTTTTCTTGTTTTTCTAGTTCTTTGATGTGTAGTATGAGGTTGTTTATTTGAAATCATTTTAGTATTTTGATGTAAGTAAATATTTATTGTAGTAAACTTCCCTCTTAGTACTGCTTTTGCAGTATCCCATAGGTTTTGGTATGATGTGTTTTTATTTTCATTAGTTTCAAGAAGTTTTTGATTTCCTGTGTAATTTCTTCTTGGACCTATATGTCATTCTGGAACATGTTGTTTAATTTCCATGTATTTGTATAGTATCCAGAGTTTTTCATGTTATTGATTTCTAGTTTTAATCTGTTGTGGTCTGAAAAAAATACTTGAAATTAGTCAATTTTTGTAAATTTGTTGAGACTTGATTTGTGACTTGATATGTGGTCTATCCTGAAGAGTGTTCTGTGTGCTGATTAAAGAATGTATATTTTGTAGTTGTTGGGTGAAATGTTCTGTAGATATTTGCTAGGTCCTATAATTTTTTTTTAATCACTGAATTGTACATTTAAATGACTAATTGTATTTTTTTGTGTGTGTGGCTGGCCAGTATCGGGATCAGAACCCTTGACCTTGGTGTGACAATGTCCTCTGCTAACCAACTGAGCTAAATGGCCAGCCCCTAACGTGTGATTTAAATCCTGTGTTTCTCTATTGATTTGTTGTCTAGATGATCTGTCCAATTCTGAGAGAGGGGTGTTTAGGTCGTCAACTATTATTGTATTGGGGTCTATTTCTTTCTTTAGGTTTAATAGCATTTGCTTAATATATCTGGGTGTTCTAGTGCTGGGTGCATATATATATATATGTTTGGATTCTTTCTGGATAGATCCTTTTATGATAATATAATGGTCTTCTTTGTCTTTATTTACTGTTTTTGGTTTAAAGTATTTTTTACCAATCCTGCTCATTTTTGGTTTCTATTTACATTATGTGTCTTTTCCATCCATTCACTAATTAATCTGTGTTTGTCTTTACAGGTGAGGTGAGTCTCTTGAAGACAGCATATAGTTGGCTCTAGGTTTTTAATACAGTCTGTGAGTCAGTGTCTTTTGAGTGAGGAACTTAATCCATTTACATTTAGGGTTGTTATGTGAGATATTGTTTTCTTACTCCTGGCATTTTATCAATTTTTGTTTGGATGTTTTAAATATCTTTTGTTCTTTTCTTCCCCTTTTATTGTTTGTCTTTGGTGTTTGTTGTTTTTTTGAGGTGATAAGATTTAGTTTCTTTCTCTTTCTCATTTGCATTTTTGTTTTGCCAGTGGGGTTTGTTCTTTCTTGTGTGTTCTTGGCATTATCATTTTTCAGATTCCTGATGCAGGGCTCTCTTGAGGACTTTTTATAGGGCTGGTCTTGTGGCAGTGAACTCCCACAGTTTTTGTTTGTCTGGGATATACACTATTTCTCCCTCATTTCTGAAGGATAGTGTAGCTAGATACAGTATTCTTGGCTGGCAGTTTTTCTTTTAGCATTTTGAATATATCATCTATTCTCTTCTGGCTTGTAGAGTTTCTATTGAGAAATCTGCAGTTAGTCTGATGGGGGCTCCCTCATTGGTGACTTCATGCTTTTCTCTTGCTGTTTTTACGATTCTCTCTTTGTCTTTGAGCTTTGCCAGTTTGACTATAATGTGTCTTGGAGGGGATCTTTCTAGGTCAAATCTGTTGGGGGATCTTTGAGCCTCCTGGATCTGAAAGTCCATGTCTCTCCCTATCCATGGGAAATTTTCCACTATTAATTTGTTGAATAGGTTTTAAAGCCTTCTTTTTCCCTCCTCCTCTTCTGGAACATCCACAATTTGGATGTTTGTGAGTTTAAGGTCGTCTGCTAGCTCTTTTAGATTTCTTCTTTTTAAAAATTTTGATACTTTTTCCTTTTCCTTTTTTTTTGTCTGCCTGGGTTATTTTGAATAGACCATCTTCAAGATCAGAATTCTTTCTTCTGCTTGTACTAACCTGCTGCTTAAGCTCTCAGTTGTGTTTTTTATTTCATTGAATGAGTCCTTCAGGTCCAGGAGTTCTGCTACATTCTTTTCTAAGGTATTAATCTCTTTGTAAATTTCCTCCTTCATATCCTGGGTAGTTTCACTCAGTACATTGTGTCATCTAACTGAGTCATCTTGTATCTCATTGTGTTTCCTTAAGATTGTTGCTCACAATTCCTTTTGAGTCATTTCAGTGGTTTCCTGTTGCATGTGTTTTGGTACTTGAAAATTATTGTATTTCTTTGGTGATATCATATTTTCTTGTTTTTTGTATTTCTAGTATATCTATGTTGACATTTGATCTTCTGGGAGAGCAATTACTTCTTCTGTTACTCTGGTGTGGGCTTTGAAAAGAGAGACTCCTTCCTGTTGGTGTGTTTTATATTGACTGTTGGGTAGTTTGTTTTCGTATTGGTTCCAGGTAAACTCAGTAGTGTAGTCTCCATGTGGATACTTTGGCTGTGTTCAGTGTCTAAGTTGCATGTGAGTGCCTCTGTGGTAGGCACTGGGGCACTTAATGGTTTCTTGCTGTGGTTAGTGACACTGTGTTGGGTCGTTGTGGACGTGGGCAAGATCTCAAGGTCTTGGGCAATGTTTCTAGGTGTCACTTCACTCCTTGGTTGGGGTGGGTGACTCTTGACGGGCTTGTTGGCTACCTGGCTAGTGTCCTGTGACCCTGATGGGTGCACTGGGGTATACTGGGTCTCCACAGCTTGAATGGGTGAACTTGGGCAGGGTTTCTCTTTCCTCATTCTTGCAGGCTGAGGCTTCTCCTGGGTCCTTGCTTCCCTTGTTTGGGGGATGGGTTGGTGGTGTCTGGGAATTTTCTTCTGTACACTATTTAGCTATCCTGGGCTTCTGTAGTTTTTGTGTTCTCTGTGTGTGTCTCTCCCCACATCAAAGCAGTTGTTTGCAGTATGCACGTAACTTTCATCCCTGAGTGCATGACCATGGGGTCAGCGTAATTCCCGCTGTGAGTTTGGCCACTTGGGAGGTGAGTCTTCACTGGCTTACCTCTTTCTGGAGGCTCCACTCATGACCTTCCTTGTGTAAGTGCATGGTGGCGGCAGTGTCCTGTGTGTGGCTAGTCTGACTGGTGCAGCAGCGGTGGTGTGTATGGCTGCTGGTGGTAGTGGTGGTGGGGTCCTATAGCTGGACTGGCTGGAGCAGTGGCTTGGGCAGAGATTTCTGTATGTGGCTGGTCTGGATGGTGTGATGGCAGTGGCCTGGATGACTGTGCGGTGGCAGTCGCACAGGCTGCTATGGTGGGGGTAAATGTTATTAAATTTAATTGTGTAAATTACATTTAATTAAAAAGTGTTATATTTCTGGATTACTTTAATGCTAGTGTATGTATTTATGTATGTCCCCACATATGCTTTCATTAGTGTTAAAATGTTCCAGAAATGTAAAGTTTAAAAAATACATTACTCCTTTAAATTAATTAATTAATCAATTATATACATACATGTGGGGGTACAATGTTGATTTTCAATAATTGTGTGGAATGGGTGGTGGTTAGATCAGTATAGTTAGCTTATTCATCATCACAATACTCAATCATTCTTTGTGTCCATTGGCCAATTCCTCATTAGCCCCCGTCCCTCTCTCCCTTGCCTGCCCTTTTCCACCTCTAGTTTTCTAAAAGTTTGGTGCATTACTGTGATTGTTTGTTTCTTTCTTTCTCTCTGTCTTTCTTTATTGTTCATTTGTTTGTTTATGGATTCAGCTCCCAGTTATGAGTGAGAACATGCAGTATTTCTCTTTCCATACCTGGGTTGTTTCACTTAGGATAATTTTCTCCAGACTCATCCATGTTGTTGCAAATGGTAGAATTTCATTCTTGTTTATGGCTGAGTAGAATTCCATTGTGTATATATACAACAGTTTCTTTATTCAGTCATCCATTGATGGGCATTTAGGTTGGTTCTATCACCTTGCTGTTGTAAATAGAGCTACAATAAGCATGGGAGTGCAGGTATGCCTTTGACCTGATGTTTTCCAATCCTCTGGATACGTCCCCAGGAGTGAGATTGCTGGATGATATGAAGTTCTATCTATAGTTGTTTGACGAACCTCCATACTGTTCTCCATAATGGCTGTACTAATTTACAGTCCCACCAACAGTGCAGGAGGGTTCCTCTCTCTCCACATCCTCTCCAGCATTTGTTATTCTCTGACTTTTTTATGATAGCCAGTCTGATTGGGGTGAGGTCATATCTCAGAGTGGTTTTGATTTGCATTTCCCTGATGATTATTGAATACATTACTCTTTGAAAACTGTTTTTTTTTTTTTTTAATTATTTTCAGGTTGATACTGCAAGCAAATTGAACTCTGGCAAAGAGGACCACTCAGAAAGCAGGAATACAGAGGAAAGTAGAAACAATGACAGTGACAAAGGGGAATACAACTCTGAGAGTAGAAAATTGGCTGAAGAGGGGGCAGATGAGGATCTGGACTTTGCTCAACATCAGATAATCCCTGAGTGTTCAGGTGGGATAATCACTAGGTGATTGGTTAATGATAATTACAGATGAAATATTTAAAGTATTAGAATTGCAAGCATTTTTACCAACAAAGTAAAATTAATAAACCAAAAAAAAAGAGATACTTTTCGTGAGGAAGCAACTACCACTTTTCAGCAAACCGCACCTCCTGCAGTTCTATATTCCTGACCAGTCTCCACTGAGTGGTCCTACACAGATTGGAGGGGCAGACCAGCTATCTATGCTGTGCAACAGTGTTCTCCCAGTGGGCCCATCTCCCCCACTGCCCATGCTCCAAACACTTCCCGTGGGGCGGGCCACATGCTGGTCACTTACAGTGACTCACCGGCCTCTGAGTTGCTCCTTTTTTTCGGTTGTTGTGGCTCCTTGCACCTATGTGGGTCCATGGGAACCCTGTTAGTAGTGTTGCTGGCCTGAGGGCCACCAAGATCCTTTTCTCCCCTGCTGGTTCTAAGCAACTTCATCTGAAGGGCACAGCTGCAGCTTTTGCCAGCTTCTGCTCTGTGCACTCAGCAGCTCCAGCCTTGAAGCAGCCGGGATTCAAAATGGTCAGAACCATTCAAAATGGTTCTTCCTTTCATTGTGGTTTCTTCTGCCCTCATTGCACTCTATAGGTCTCTGCTTCTCTTCCCCTGATCTCTAGCAGCCCCAGCTTGGCTGTTGTTGCTTTTTAGTAGTTGTAAATTGGTTGATTTGTGGGAGAGAGTGACACTGGCAACTGTCTATTCTGCCATCTTGACTGGAAATCTGCTTTGATTTTTTAATGTGTAATAGGCATCACCTTCATTTTGCAAATATTAAACAGATGCCAGAACACTATTTTTACTTGAGAGAATGACTGACAAATTATTATCGTTTGATTTGTGTATTTGGCAGACTTTTTAAAAAAAAACGAAGTGAGCTTGTTACTACAAGGAAAACTACTGACAGTATTTGTTACCAGTGGTAGAATTTGAGCTTGATAGCTTCCCAATACTTGGACTTTTCTGATAAAAATTGGTGGCAATATTAACAAATATGGTTTAAAAATATTGTGTAATAAAATGTGTTAACATTTTGAATGTTTGCATAATTCAGTGAACCATTGTTTTATAAATGACCAACACAGGGTAAAAGATCCATTCAATGTGAAGGATAGATCCATGGATTTTAATGGAACAAACACAAAAAGCTCACTGATATGGTTACAGAGTTCACATTACAACTAACTTTTAAGAAACTGCCCCTGTCAAGTTTTGGTGTAGTGTCAAAGAAGAATATTCATCTATCTGAATAGGCTGTTAAATTTCTTCTGCCTTTTCCAATTACACATCTGTGTGAGGCCAAATTTTCTGCATATACTTCAACCAAAAGAGCAGATTGTAATAGATTGACTATAGAAGTAGATAAGGAAATCCAGCTATTTTCTAAGCAGATAAGGAAATATTTGTTTTCCAGATATTAAAAATTTAAAACAGTACCAGTGTTCTCAATAAAGTTTTTGGAGAATTATTTATCATAAAAGTGTGATATTTATTTTAATATATAGTTAGCAATAGCATGGTTACTATTATTTTTAAATGAATTAATAAATGTTTATATTTTTCAGTTTTGATTTCTAATTTGGTAATTATCAATAGATATAATCCACATAAACAAAAGCTACTTTGGGCTCTCAATAATTTTTAAGGCTATAAAAGGGAGCTGTGAAAAAGCATGAGAACTAGTGATTTAGAATATGTTTGGGAAGCAGTCAGCTCTCAGAGTTAGGTTAGATGACTCAGGATTACAGTTATCAGGGAACAGGTATTATAGTTGAGATTTGCTGTTGCCCCAGTTACATCGTATTTGTTTATATTGTTTTAGTACTGCATGAGTTACTCAAAATGCCTGCTACATAGTCTACCTATGTACATGGAGCCTGAGAATGTTAGGTTTGGCAGTTGGGAATTTGAAATAGAGGCTACTGCATTTGAAGTACATAAGCAATAAGATTTGAGGAGAATCCTTAGTGATAAGATCAATAGTCTTTTTGGGTTAGCTTCTTCTTGCCAAAAATATCTTCGTTTTTTTTTCTTAAAGAGGAAGTGATGTACACTATAGGAAAGCACACTAGACTCTTCGGATTTTCAGAAATTGCTAAATTTGACGTTACTTAGCATAATAAGCCATTTCTAATGATCTAACCCTGGGGTGGCTGAGACAATATTCGAAGATTCATGCTCATTGCCAGATTATCATTTTTCTTCAGATTTCAGAGAGGGAATATCATCTAGTGGCTAAGAGCTTTGGCTCTGGAGTCAGTCAGATTTGTGGAAAACCTGATTCTGCCATTTACCAGTTATTTCACTTTGGACATGTTTGTAAATCAACTACAAATTAGCCTCAGTTTATTAATTTGTAAAATGAGAGCAATGATTATACCACCTCACAGGTTTAAGATGAGGATTAAATGAGATAATGTATGTAAATAAAGCATTTAACACTGTGCCTGGCAGGTAACTCTATAAATGTTAGCTGCTATTATTATCATCATCCATATCATAAGTTAAAACTTGAATGACAAAAGTTCTAAAGAGTCCTTCATTTTAAATGTTACTATCGATTAACTATAACTCAAGAACATTTTTATTGGTCACCTTTCTCATTATGACTGTCATTATCATTGTCATCTTAGTGACACTGGTAGTTTTTATTTATTTTATTTTTATTTTTTTGGTGGCTGGCTGATGTGTGGATCAGAAACTGTGACCTTGGTGTTGGAGGGCTGCACTCTATGCAACTGAGCTAACCTGTCAGCCCCCATCAAAAACATTTTCAGGTACTTCAAGAAATTAGAATAAATGTGAAGAGCATAGAGAAAAGGTGTCTAGCTATATGAGTACTTGTGTGAGTTTGTTTCTTCCATTTATTGGAACTACTTTGTGTCAGTGATGACATACTACTTTTTAACTGTAGCTATTTGTGTATATGCATTCTCTTTCAGTTAGTCTGAAGCAGCTTTAGGATAGGGTCTAAGTCTTATTCCTCATTTTCTATTTGTTAGTCACGAATACAGACAGTATAGCAGAATAAAGGAGAAAGAATGTGAGATTTACAATCATAAGACATCCACTTCAGAGTACAATGCTATAATTATTATGTATTTGGAAGGACCCAGTTATCTCAATTGTAAAACAGAGATAGATGTCTATTTCACAGGGTTGTTAGATGATGATATGAAAAAATACATGTGAAAGCACCTTGTAAATCAGGGTACATGACACCAATGTAGTAGTTACTACTTGTCAGTCATAAATATTTGTTGAATGAAAGAACACATAGTAAAAACAAAGTAATACTTCATGACTTTACTAAACTTCAAACCCACTCCTACTTTCAACACAACATAGATGAGCCCAAATTAAAAGAATTGGAGTCTCAACTTCAACATGCTATTCAGAAAATGAAGAGACTTGATAAAATATTAGTAAAGAGAAGACACAGAGAAAAGGAAATTAAGAAGCAAGGTCTAGAAATGAGAATAAAGCTGTGGGAAGAACTTAAGGTAAGAATTATATGACTGTGCGCTGATGTGTAAGAAACAATTTCCTCTAAGATGAGTAAGAAAAGCATGGACTGTGATAGTGTGGTCTGCCTTTATTCCTTTTTTTGGGGGGGGGTAGTAGCAGTTGTGTGTGTATGTGTATGTGTGAGGGGGTTGAGGGGTGATGTTTTTCTGCAACTGGAGAAGGTAACTTGGTCTGTAGCATTCCAGATTTTGGGCACTGCACTGGTGTGTTCCTTCTCCCACGGATGGGCCCAGTAGGCCTCTCTTACTAGTGTCAGGCTGGGGCTCATACGACTCTGGAATAGGAAAGGATGTAGTGTCTGCTTTCATCAAGTATGTATGTCTGCTTTTTCTTCAGTGAGCTTACAGTTTGGAGATAAATACACAGAAACTTAACCCCTTGATTAGCATTGTTAGTTGATAAACTTTTGTGACAAACTGGTTGGGGAGTTCACAGTTTCATGTGCTAGTCAAGATCTCCTCAGGAAGCTGTAATGTGCTTGAGGTCTGAGCATGCTCCATTTGTTTCTGTCTCAACAAATTTCTGGTGCTTGATTAACTTTCCTTGGCCCTCTTGGACCTCTTATTCTCTATAGTACTGAGGGGTTGAAGGTGACCAGATGTTGGCACTGACTTGGTGTATAGCCATTGGCTCATATTTGAATTTTGCCTCTTAAAGGAGAGTACCTTGAAGGTAAGGAACCTTGTATTACAACAGATTGGCTGTTTTTGATTTCTTCTTGATCAGTTGACCGACTTCAGAGAAAATTTCCTAGGCAATAATATGAATTAAGAATAAATTAAGAACACAGTTTTGCAAGGTTCCCAGAAAGACCACTGGGATAGAAAGAAAGCAATATCCAAAATTGCACTGCTTTAAACTAGAGAAATAATTTCAGTAAATTTTAGCAAAAAATGGTAGCCTATTGCTTTTTCCTGTGGATCTCAAAGGAAGTTTTTTCCCCTTTGAAACAAGAATTATAAGTGGAAACATAATAAAATACAGTACTAGTCTTGAAATGTCTGAAATTTCAATTTGATAGTATACTTTTAGGTTACTCATTAGTCATAAAAATATCAAGCAGAAGCTTAAGATACTTTAAGTGAGGTAATTATCATATAGTGATAGACATATGCTTCAACTCTGGGAATAACTTTGACAGAATTTTACAGGAACAGGAAACATTAACAAGTTTCCTAATTAAAGGAATAAAAATGGCCTGAGCCTTCTTGTTTATAAGTACATGATTAGAAACCATATTGGAATAAAAAAAAAATCAATGAGTATATTTGCTTTCTTTCCCTATGTTTAAACTTTAATTTTTCTTTTATTAGTCTGCAAAAAATACTGAAGCTTTGCAAAGTAATGAGGAGTTGGAAAATACAAAAAAGTTTTTATCTTTGACTGCTGCATCTGAAGAAACTTTTGGTGAGTAGATGGAGATGTCATTTATCTTTGTTTTTATCTCAGAGTCATAGAATATTAAAGTTCCCAATCCAGTTTTTCCTCCTTTTCTTTATGAGTTTGTCTCTTCTTTAGGGAAAATAATTGATCACATTAGGTATGATTGTATGGAATTACTCTGGGCTTGATTATGTTTCCATGTCTTTTATATCTGCTCAAGGGTAAGGGTGTCTGCGCAGGGAAAAATTGGGAAATAGGCAAGGTATGTCTTTGCCTTTACGTCCTGTCCCTCTTAGATGCCTCTAGACACTCATTTTATGTAGATAGTCCCCTAACTGCCCATTATGATACCCGTGATCCTCTCACAAGTTATCACTCAGGCCTGCGCAACTACTTTCACAAAAATCTGTTACTGATTTGTCCTACTTTCTGTTTTTTTCACTGTCCTACTTTTTGAGACCAGCCAATTAATTCCACTCGTGTATTTCTACCTTTCCCCCTGTATACATGTATATTTGTGAATCTTCTTTTTAAACAGAAATATGGAGTCTTGTAACCTTTAACTCACTTACATAATGGTTAATTATGTAATAGTTAACATAATTTTAGGGATTGGAAGCAGTTGGTAGGATACTTTCGAAATCCTTTAACCTATATCACATGGTGGTCATTTAGTTTGCTTGGGCAGACTAGCTCTAAATGGGGGCGTCTGGTTTCTGTGGGAGTTCTGGGATCCTTTTGTCTTCTAAAAAGTAAATGTCTAACATTTTAGAATCCCAGGAATCCAATTCAGGTTACTGCAGCTGTTTAGCATGGAGCTTTGATGTGAATGATATTCCCTCAGGTTTGTTCCTTTCTGGACTCAACTTTTGAGAACTCAGAAGCTGCTTAGGCTTGAGGGGTTGGGGTTTACCACGCACCAAATGTTTTTCCTTAAGAAGGTGGGTGCCCCATCTGGGTTATTCTTTCTATGACAAAGGACTTTAAAAAATTGAGCCTTTCCAAGTTTCTTCTTGATTGCCTGTGTCTAGATTGGCTTTATTGAAATTTACCTTGCCATTTGTATATCCTAATTGAAACACCAAAAAGCATTAGCCTGTCTATATTAAAATCATAGATCATTTACTTTCTGCTTCTATTTTATTACAGAAGTATGCACATGTAATCTATATTAGAAAATACTGGTAAACAAAAAAAGTTACTATTACCTAAATTCCTAACTTGCAGAGATAATCACTATTAATATTTTAGTTTACTCTTTCTCTTTTGAGACTTTTTTTTTTTTTGGTGGCTCTTTAACAATTTCTTGCTAACCTCCCCTCCCCCTCTCCCACCTCTGGTGCCCTCAGTTCCATTCTCTCCTTTTGAAAGTTCATAGGATTACTGTGATTGTTGTATCTTTTTTTTCTTTTTGTTTTATTTATTTTTTTTAGCTCCCACTTATTAGTGAGGACATATGGTATTTAGTGCACATATCCATGCATATTTTTTAAGAATAAAAATGGGATCAAATTATATATATAGTGTTTTGTAACCTGGTTTTCACTAATTTGTATCTCATTAGCTCCTTTATTTTTTTATTTATTAAAAAAATTTATTATTAGCGTATTCTTTTTACAAATCATGATATTTCTTTATGCCCTTTGCCTGACCTATCACTTTCCAAACCCCTTCCCTCCCTCTCCCCCATCTCTAGTATCGCTAGGTTTGTTCTCTCCTATTGAAAGTTGGGTCTTTTCTTTTCTTTCTTTCCTTCATTCCTTCCTTCTTCCCTCCTTGCCTCCCTCCTTCTGTTCCTCCTTCCCTTCCTTCCTTTTAAGCACCCAGTTATGAGTGAGAACATGGGGTATTTCTGTTTCTTTGGCTTATTTCACGTAACATAATTTTCTCTAGACTCATCCATGTTGCTGCAAATAGCAGAATTTCATTCTTTTCTATGAATGAGTAGTATTCCCTTGTGTATATATACCATATTTTCTTTATCCAGTTGTCCATCAATGGACATTTAGGTTGGCTCCATATTTTGGCTATCATAAATAGAGCTGAAATGAACATGGGAGTGAAGGTATTCCTTCACCATGATGATTTCCATTTCTTTGGATATATACCCGGTAGTGGGATTGCTGGATCATGTGGTAGCTCTATCTGTAGTTGTTTCAGAAACCTCCATACTGTTTTCTGTAATGACTGTGTCAATTTACAGTCCCACTAACAGCGTAGAAGAGTTTCCATTTCCTTGCATCCTCACCAGCATTTGTTCTTGGTCTTTTTGATAATGGCCAGTCTAACTGGGGTGAGATGGTATCTCAATGTGGTTTTGATTTGCATTTCTCTGATAATTAGTGATGCTGAGCATTTTTTCACGTACCTGTTGGCCATTTGTATGTCTTCCTTTGAGAAATGTCTATTCATCTCCTTTGCTGTACCTCTCACTGTATACCAAAATCAACTCAAAGTGGATTAGAGACTTAAATATAAGACCTGAAACCATAAAATTACTAAAGGAAAATATAGAGGAAACACTCAAGGTAATAGGACTGGGCAAAGACTTTATGAATATGACCCCAAAAGCACAAGCAGCTAGAGAAAAAATAAATAAAGGGGATTATATCAAGCTACAACGCTTCTGCGCAGCAAAGGAAACAACCAGCAGAGCTGAAAGACAACCTACGGAATGGAAGAAAATGTTTGCAAACTATTTATCTGACAAGGGATTAATATCCAGAATATACAAAGAACTCAAGCAACTATACAGTAAGAAAACAAATAATCTAATCATCAACCCTGTTAGCTCTCAGTAAAAATAGATCTGTGTGGGAGCTTGTTGCCAAGAGGACTGCCATCAGTTACTTCCCTTGGTATATGTGTTGCGTACAAAGTCATGTTATGATTTATGAGTGCAATGTGGAATAATTAACTGTATTCACCATGCTGTGCAATAGATCTCAAAACCCCCACCCTTATTCCTCCTGTCTACCTGATACTTTGTACCCTTTGACCACCATCTCCCCATTCTCCCCACACCCCAGCCTCTTTAACCACCATTCTACTTTCTGCTTCTATGAGTTTCCACATGTTCTCACTAGATTCCACATATAAATGAGAACATGTGGTACAGTAGTCCACCTTATCCATGGGGAATATGTTCCAAGACCTTCAGTGGATGGCTGAAACCACGGATAGGAGTTCACCCTATATGTACTATGTTTTTCCTATTATACATACCCATGATAAAGGTTAATTTATAAATTAGGCACAGTAAAAGACAAAAATAAGTAATAATTAAATAGAATAATTGTAACAATAAACTGCAATAAAATAGAAGTTGTGTGAATGTGGTTTTGCTCTCCCTCTCTCTCAAAATATCTTAATTGTACTGTATCATTCTTCTTCTTGTGATCTGTTGATCTGATGGCCAGAGTGGCTACTAAGTGACTAATGAATGGCCAGGTAGCTTATACAGTGTGGGTATGCCGGACAAAGGGATAATTGATGTCCTCGGTGGTACAGAGTGGGACAGGGTGAGATTTCATTACACTACCCAGAACGGCTCACAATTTAAAACTCATGAATTGTTTATTTCTGGAATTTGCTATTTAATGTTTTCAGACTATGGTTTACTATGGATAATTGACAGCATGGAAAGTGAAACTGTGGATAAGGTGGGGTTGGGGGTGATTACTGTATTTGCCTTTCTGTGCCTGCCTTATTTCACTTAGCATAATGTTCTCTAATTCCATCCATGTTGTTGCAAATGACAACATTTCTTTCTTTTTTAAGGATGAATAATATTCCATTGTATATTTATGTCACAATTTCTTTATCCATTCATCTATTGAAGGACACAGGTTGATTCTATTAACTTAGCTATTGTGAATAGTGCTGCAATGAACATGAGAATGCAGATATCTTTTTGACTGACTGATTTCAAATCTTTTGGGTAAATATCCAGAAGTGGGATTGCTGGATCTTATGGTTTAGTTTAGATGTTAATTTTAGTTTTTTGAGGAACCTCCATATAGTTTTCCATAGTGGCTGTACTAATCTGCATTCCTACCAACAGTGTACAAGGGTTCCCTTTTCTGCATATCTTCACCAACACTTATCTTTTGTCTCTTTTGTAATAGCCTTCCTGACAGGTGTGAGGTGATATCTCATTGTGGTTTTAATTTGCATTCCCCTAATGATTAGTGATGTTGAGCATTTTTTCATATATTTGTTTGTATGCCATTAAATTTTGTTTTTTACTTTTTATTTTGAAATAATTTTAAACTTGCAGAAAATTGCATAAATAGTATAGAGTTCTGTATACCTTTTCCCCCAGCTTCCCTTAATGTCAGCATCTTATATATAACCATAGTACAATGATCAAAACTAAGAAATCAACACTAGGACAATACTGTCAACTAGATTACAGACCTTAAAATTTTACCAGTTTTTCCACTAATGTCTTTTTTATTTTCTAGTGTCCAATCCAGGATCTCTTATTGCATTTAGTTGTCACGTTGTCTTAGTCTCCTCCAATCTGTGATAGGTTCTCATTGTTTATCTTTCATGTCTCCCTTTTGGAGAGTACTGATTAGTTATTTTGTAAAATATCCTTCAGTTTTGGTTTGTGTGATGTTTTCTCATGATTAGATGGAAGTCATACTTTTTTTGGCAACCATACCTCAGAAGTTATGTGCCTTTCTCAATCTGTCACACTCAGGGTACTTAATGTTGATATATGTTATTACTGGTGATGTCAACCTTGATCACTTAGTGAAGGTGATGTCTGATGGCTTCCACTGTAAAGTACTATTTTTCCTTTTGCAATTTATAAATATCTTGGAAGAGATGCTTTAAGACTGTGCAAAAATCCTGTTTCTCCTCAAACTTTCACCTGTTTATTTTAGCGTCAATCAGTAGATCTTGCTTGCAATAATTACTATATGCCACTAAATTTTGGGTGATTTTTTTAATGCAACAATGGATAACTGGAACAATTTCCATAGTGCTTTTTTTTTAATGACTGCATATTAATT